GAATCATATTACGGGTTTAGACCTTCATGGTTTGGTTTGGGAGTTGTGAACAATATGGTGCGGGCAAGTGTGAATAAGATTTAGTGTAAGCTTGGGTAGATGTCAACATTAATTTTTTTGTTTGTTGAATGTTTTGCTGCATGTGATGATGATTTCTAATGATTATGGTTACTCGATTGGCTTAAAATAGAATATTGGGTCTGGAAAATCTGAGTATTTGTTCTCCTGATACCTACCTAATTATAGAGATTGTCCAAATTGAGAAAACCACAAGCAAATATAGTAAATCGACCAGATTTGACGCAGATGACGTTCTTAAATTAGAGTGTCATTGTTAGGTATAAATATGACGAAAGTGATAGTCATAATCAACAAAAGCAAAAACCAAAATCTGATTCCCAACACTTAAGAGGTAAAGAGAAATAAAACATTATCCGGCGACGAAATGGCTTGTTCCTCCAGTTGTTTCTTCGTCGTTAGTATGGCAATTCTGTCACAATTTCTCTTAGCCCCAGCATCAGGATTGGTCAACAGAAAATACATCGATGCCAACTGCCAACGAGTGAAGAACAAACCTTTCTGCGTCGAGACATTGACCACCTTTCCTCCTACCGCTGCTGCCACCGGCCTGGTACTACTAACATACCTACTCAAACATATTGTTTTGATTTTGAATTGTTATTAAAACTGACACTAACATGAACAAGGAAATGTTTGTAGTTGCCACTTGCGGAGTCTGTGGTGGGGCTTGCAATAGCACATGCTGAGAAGACCGCGGGTTTCGCAGCTGAGACGGCGAAGAAAGATGCGAATTTGAAGACGCAATTCAACGAATGCCATGACGCATATGTTGGTATTGTGGCGTCTTTAAAGAGCGCGTCATTGGAGCTCAAAGACTCACCAGACACTGCCAACTACGATGTAATGCTTTCTGGTGATGAAATAAGGCGCGTCCAGGAGTTGGTCGGGAAAAACACCGACAAGTCCTCCTCCACACTCTTGGAGATGACTTTGCAGATGGAGAAGCTTCTTGATCTCGCTGCTGGAGCCACCGATGCTGTTGATGACGATGATGAGAACACTCATCGTCGTGCTTGATGTTGAAACTAAGTCTGGTTTTCGGTTTTTGGCTTACGAATGGATTCAAAGGACATATAAATTTATATGTCGCTGATAATTGAATCTTAGGAAAAATTTCTAAATATAATATGTGATAATTTATAACGAATTAATTCTTATATGAACTGTAGTTGGCATAAAAAGTGCAGCTCTCATGAGAGAATTTTTATATAGGGTTTCTCTTGGACTTTGACAGTTTTGTGTGCTCTTGAATCAATAATTGTGTAGGGAGGAACTCAAATTACTACAATTCAATTGGGTAAACTGATATTTGTAAAAATACCGATACATAAATTAGGATAAAAACGAATTTACAGAGACGAAATATGATCTCTATCCTTTCTGAAAACGCTGACGGTGGTTGTGTGACGTTTCGAATCCTAAGATACAACTGCTATCAACTCTGTTTTGCATAACTCAAGAACAGAATCATACGAACGTTAGAATCTGTGTTATACTCTCAGACACAAAAATAAAATAAGATAAAAAAGATTGTGAGAGATGTTGGTTATTGTTGTTGTTGATCATGTATGATTCGATGATCTTATAATTCGATCTCTCTATGAGAAATATAATGGCTTATTCTTATAGTCATAAACTGCAACGTACAAACTGTTGAGTAATAAAGAGGAGGACGAGACTTAATTCTCTTTTAGGCAATGTTCTAAAATATGCAATAGATGTATACGCGGACGTTTATGCGGGGTATATACGGTAGATATTTTTGCATATTTATGCATATATATACAAAAATATTTTGTTTTAGTAGATAATAGAAAAAGTATTATCATGAATTCTATAAAAAAAACTTAAATAATTAACATTAATATGGTAGTTTTAATTCAAATAGTAAAATAACATAGTTGAAAATCGTTTCAAATAACAAAAAATAGAATTATATCAATTATACTTTTGGAAAAAAGGTCAAAAACATAGTTTGATTTGAATTTTTTGGAAAATATACCTGTTAAAACTGTATATTGATAATTTAGTTATCGTATATAAAAAGATATTTTTTTTTTCATTTAAAAATACGTATAGCATAAATACGGTACGACCAGCCACTGTATAGCGCCTGGACGCCATATATACGGGCGCCTAGACTGTATTTTAGAACACTGCTTTTAGGGTATGATTGGTTGGACTGTAGAAAGTATTTACAATCTTAATTTTTTTCTACGGCCTTAAAACTTACCAATCAAACTTTATATTTATTTTCAAAGCTACAACCTAAAAAAAATGGGCTGTAAAACCCTTAAAACCTACAGACTAACAATACAAGCTTTAGAAAACAAGAAATGGCTGTACG